CACACACACACACACACACACACACACACACACACTGCCGTTCAAGATTGGGATCAGTTTTTATTAATTTTTATTTATTTGTTTAGTTTTAGTTATTTTAGTACTTCGAATTAAACCACATGAAAACGAGAAATTGAAGAGGCATCATACCAATCACAAGTGCAGTATGGAGTACCTCAAGGCTCAGTACTAGGACCGTTACTTTTCACTCTTTACATGTTCCCCTTGGGAGATATTATTAGGAAACATGGTGTTAGCTTTCACGGTTATGCTGATGATACTCAGCTCTATATTTCTTCACGGCCCGATGAAACATACCAATTTGCAAAACTAACAGAATGCATAGTTGATATAAAAACTGGATGACTAATAATTTCCTACTGCTAAATTCTGAAAAAACAGAGGTTTTAATTATTGGACCAAAAACCTCTGCATGTAATAACCTAAAAAACATCACAATTGATGTCAAATATGTAAATCAAAAACTTGACATGACTTTAATTTGCTGTAAATCAAACGTCATACATATATATTGGCCTAAAAATATATTAAAACAATTTTAGTGTGAGTTATTTTAGTATTTCAAATTAAACCAAATGATAATGAGAAATGTTGCCTTGGCAACCAGCTGAAATAAAATAACCAAGTTGGTTTTAGTTTTAGTTATTAATCCTGAATAGAGTACGATTCATACTTCTGAAGAAGACTTTTTCCTTTCAGATTCTGAATCAGCTTCAGTGTCTGTTCTTTGCCGACTCCGGCGACGCCCTACAGGACCAGAAAGAGAACAGCACAACATTCACTATAACGTTTCATCATTTCAGAAAGCATTTCATCCTATAAATCTGCTGAACCTTGGGGATGTAGTCGCAGCCGAGGAGAACGGCCAGCCCCACGAGAATGTCTCTGGAGAGCCCGAGTTCGGCCCGAACACGAGACGTCTGATAGCAGTCCACCTGAGGATCCTGCAATAAAAAACAAATTGTTGACAAATATTCTTGTTGTCGAGTAGCCGTTTGACTTCATGTGAGCTAATGTAAGAGCCTGCAGTACTGTGGTTTGACCAGTGAGGCGCTGTAGAGCAAAACAGTAATTCAGAGCAAACGCAGCCGAACAGCGTTTGGATGAATGTGTAAATATATGCTGCGCTCGTTCCTCTCAATAATGAAATAAACAAGAAAAACTGACAACGGTGAGAAAGCAGCAGTTAAGAAAGCATCTGATTACAGTGATGTGATGTTTGCACGAGCTCTGCGTTTATTTATATAATACTTTATGCAGTAGACAGCCTTAAACCAAGCAGCTTTACAGCATTAAACATGAAAAACCAGAGTCAGTGTCGCTTTCAGTTAGAATTACAACTTTATTTTCTGTTATAAAGCAGCTCTCCAGTGTGGAGCTAGCTAGCGATAAATCTGTTTATTAGTGGGAAAATATATTATTTCATTAAAGTGATAGTTTGGTTTGCAGAGATCGAAGCTTGATCTAGCTCAGGACTGTTTTGATTATTATAATAACCCTATAAAGTATTTTAAGAGATTATGTTGTGAATAAAATAGTTTATCCAAAAATAAAGCGTGTTTGTTTCTTATCAATATAAAAGACTTACAAAAGGAGATGTTAGGCAGAATAATGTTTCATATAGCTAATTAAATGGTGAATAAGAGTTTCTCAGCCAAATATATTTATTTGTATAAATTAATCATATAATAATTATAATTACATAACATGATCTTCAAAAGAATATGTATAACTGAATAATCAATCAAAAGTGTACTGATTAATCAGTGAAATAACAGTCGATTAATCGTTCTAATAATCATTCGATTAATCGTTTGTCAAAATAATCGTTTGTTGAAACCCTAGCGTGGAGACTTAAACAGGAGTAGGAACCTTTGTAGTCATGTTGAAGTTCCTGTAGACGGTCTGAGCGCCGTATAAGAAGACATCTCCGTCGTTAGTGATGCATCCGTCCACAGCGCCCTGCGAGTCCAGATAAGCACACATGGCCTCCGCTTCGCCCGCCGCCGACACCCACGGCACTCCCAGACAGTCCAGCATCTCAGCGCACTGCGGAGAAACACTTTAACCCTTTAAAGGGGTCCTATTATGCTCTTTTACAAAGTCTTGGTTTTGTTTTGGGGGTGTACTAGAACAGGCTCTCATACTAGGTTGTTCGAAAAACACATTATTTTTCACATATTTTACATTATTACAACACCTCTCTCCCCAGTCTGGCATGAACAGCTCAAATAGTTCCTGTATCAAATGAAGGCCCGCCTTGAACATAGACGAATATAGACTATCCAAACATTGTTATACATTTTGTAATATGATTTTGAAGTACCATTTCCATGGTAAAGCAATGTCTGATTTTAAAATGGTTTTCACAGGATGTTTTTTAAGCTTTCAATTGATATATAATTTATGATGATTTATAAAGCGTGATAGGGAAAAAGGCAACCTTTGTTATTCCTGTCATGATGTAGATTTTTGAGGTGCACTCTTGTCATAAATTAATGTATTACTGCTCCTACATAATTTGTAACAAAAAACTGAGATAAAATAGCTATTTAGGATTCTTAGACCTTTCCAACGATATATATTTGTCATGATTAGATAAGGATTTATTTGGTAATTAGTGTCCCTGCAGCACAAAAGCAGTGTTAAGTCGCTGGGGTATATTTGTAGCAATAGCCAACAATACATTGTATGGGTCAAAATTATACATTTCTCTTTTATGCCAAAAATCATTAGGATATTAAGTAAAGATCATGTTCCATGAAGATATTTTGTAAATTTCCTACCGTAAATATATCAAAACTTAATTTTTGATTAGTAATATGCATTGCTAAGAACTTCATTTGAACAACTTTAAAGATGATTTTCTCAATATTTAGATTTTTTTGCACCCTCAGATTCCAGATTTTCAAA